TTTTCCGCCCCCCCCCATCCAGGCCATCTCCCTCACTCTCAATTTCTCTTTATCTTTCTCTCTCTCTCTCTCTCTCTCACTCTCTCTCACTCTCTCTCTGTATCTGCATTGTTATGATGTAAATGTTTGTCATGTCATTCTTGTTCTTTGTGATGGAACTTAATGCTTGAGGGCAACAGTGTTTAGATTCACCCTTTCAGTTACTGTCAAAATCCATGCATGTTATCTTTAATATGTTATGTTAATTGCTAAATAAAATGATGATAAGAGGAATCACTTGGTAATGTGTGATGTGTTGCTTGAAGAACCGTCCAATTTGGTTTCTGCACATATTAATTAAGTATCCCTCTTCTCATGTGATGGGGAAAAATATGTTTAATTGGTGGACATTTAAATATGTTAAGCATAGTGTGACAGAAAAAAGGCTTTTCTATCTCGTTGAAATGAAAAAAGATGAATATAATAAAAATAATAATATTAGACATTTATATAGCGCACATATCCACCATGCATGGTGCTTAAGGCTCTCCAACTATTACCCCCGACTCTGCTAGGCAGCCGATTTCGGCGCTCACAGCATTCAAGGAATTCCTTCCTACCGGTACCCATTTAACAGCTGGGTGAAGAGTGGCAAATTAATGTAGATTAATATCTTGCCAAAGGACATTAATGCCGTGGCGGGACTCGAACCGGGACCCTGTGATTCACAGTCCAACGACTTATCCACTAGACCACAACATATATCACATATATTTATATACATTTATATTTGAAAGAAAATTCAGGAGTTTTCCTGTATGACATCATGTATTATGACTGAATTACGATTAGGTCCCCATATTTGTAGTGAGCTATTTTTTTTTTTTTTTGGGGGGGGGGAAATTATACTTTCTCATTTTGTATTCAATATATTTCGAATTTTCACTTATGTTTTCCTGTGGTTCTTCGGCTTTCAGGGTGAGGTTGAGTAAGAGGACACTTTATTTTCTTTTTTTGTCTCGAAATTTGAAAATTTGACATTTTGTTCCGTGGGGGGGGGGGGGGGGGTTAGGTCACCTGTTTTGGGTCAGCCATTGGCATAATATATATATTTTTTTTAAATTAAAAAAAACAAAAAATCAAAAGGGGGGGGGGTTAACCCCCCCCCCCCCCTGCGTACGCGCCTGAGTCTGTCTGCTAATTACTCTATTATATGAGTTAGCCCGTATCCATTTAATAAACAGGTGTACATACGAAAGTAATAAATACAAGTATTACAATTCATTTATATCATTTCATTGCAATAATTTATTTCTACTTCAAGATGAATACAATAATATATGATATTCAAAATACAAACATATGTGACGAAATATCTAAAGTGAGAGGATCATGGAAGGAACATAATTGGCTTGATAAAAATGATCCTCACAAAAAACATGTAATATCAAACAAAATGCAAATCATAATGTGAAGTGTTCTCAAGTCTTACAAAGTTTCAACCAATTATTGACGAACTTGGTTTTTACAAAATAAACTCTAAGGTAAATCCAAAACTCTCCTTTTTATGATATACGAAATCACAGAGAAATACAATTTTATTTTCATATTATCACCAGACATGGAACCACTGCCCCATACAAACTATATCTTACAAAGTCTTAAAGTGAAGTCTTAAGAAGTCCCATCCAAGTGACGAACTTGCTTTAAAAAGAATATACTCTAAGGTAAATCCATAGCCTTTCTTTTTTTGTGATATACAAAATCACAAACAGAGTCAATTATATTTTCATATTATCACCAGGCATGAAACCACTACCATAAAACTTATATCTTCCATAGTCTTAAAGTCGAGTCTTAAGAAGTCTCATTCAAGTGACGAACTTGCTTTAAACAGACTCTAAGGTAAATTCATAACTCTTCTTTTTGTGATATACAAAATCACAAACAAAGTCAATTTTATTTTCATATTATCACCAGGCATGGAACCACTACCATAAAACTTATATCTTCCATAGTCTTAAAGTCGAGTCTTAAGAAGTCTCATTCAAGTGACGAACTTGCTTTAAAAAGAATATACTCTAAGGTAAATCCATAGCCCTTCTTTTTTGTGATATACAAAATCACAAACAAAGTCAATTATATTTTCATATTACCACCAGGCATGGAACCACTACCATAAAACTTATATCTTCCATAGTCTTAAAGTCGAGTCTTAAGAAGTCTCATTTAAGTGACGAACTTGCTTTAAAAAGAATATACTCTAAGGTAAATCCATAGCCCTTCTTTTTTGTGATATACAAAATCACAAACAAAGTCAATTATATTTTCATATTATCACCGGGCATGGAACCACTACCATAAAACTTATATCTTCCATAGTCTTAAAGTCGAGTATTAAGAAGTCTCATTCAAGTGACGAACTTGCTTTAAACAGACTCTAAGGTAAATCCATAGCTCTTCTTTTTTTGTGATATACAAAATCACAAAGTCAATTTTATTTTCATATTATCACCAGACATGGAACCACTGCCCCATCTTACAAAGTCTTAAAGTCAAGTGACGAACTTGCTTTAAAAAGAATAGACTGTAAGGTAAATCCATAGCCCTTCTTTTTTGTGATATACAAAATCACAAACAAAGTCAATTATATTTTCATATTATCACCAGACATGGAACCACTACCATAAAACTTATATCTTACAAAGTCTTAAAGTCAAGTCTTAAGAAGTCCCATCCAAGTGACGAACTTGCTTTAAAAAGAATAGATTTAAGGTAAATCCATAGCTCTTCTTTTTGTGATATACAAAATCACAAAGTCAATTTTATTTTCATATTATCACCAGGCATGGAACCACTGCCCCATACAAACTATATCTTACAAGGTTTAAAGTCAAGTCTTAAGAAGTCCCATCCAAGTGACGAACTTGCTTTAAAAAAAATAGATTTAAGGTAAATTCATAGCTCATCTTTTCATAATATACAACATCACAGGAAAGGTCAATTTTTTCCATATTATCACCAGACATAGAACCACTGCCCCATATACAGACTATATTTTACAAAGTTTTGAAGTCAAGTCTTACGAAGTTTCATCCAAAGTGACGAACTTGCTTTTTACGAAACAAAGTCTAAGGTAAATCCAAAGCTCTTCTTTTTGTAATATAGAAAATCACAGAGAAAGGAATTTGTTTTAAGTATTATCACCAGACATGGAACCACTGCCCCATAAAAACTATATCTTACAAAGTCTTAGAGCCAAGTCAAGCCAACGCATGCGAACAAAAATGAGCAAGATCAAGGCCCCGTCTGATTAAAGAGTTGATATCAATTGCAACTATGAACATGAGAGATAGGAGACTGCAAACTTGTGGTTGATCGGAGGATTTGCAATTGATTTGGATCAATCACAATTCTTGATAGACAACAACAATGATATTGGCATTGGTATTTATTTTCAATATCACAATATTAAAAACAATACATAGAAAATGCATGTACATATAATGGTATAGTGAATGGCCGGATAACCCATTCAGCTTTGTTAGTAAAACAAAACTGTTCTTCCCTGGGGTCCAGGAATTAAGATATCAACAGTTATTATACAACATACAATACAACATAAAATGATATAATTTGAATACATATAAAACCTAAAACATATTAGAGAAGCATAAACACCCCCCCCCCATTCCAAGCATGTTCCATGCCAGATCAGAGCAGTTTCTTAAATTAAGATTTTTGCAAAAAGTTTTTAAGCTGTTGGATAGCTTAATAGTTAACGGTAGGCCATTGTACTCACGTGAGCCTTTATACACAAACATTAATACGACAGCATTCACTCTTTGGTTTGGGGAGTTTCTTGATGCTTGATGCGAATAGCCTTTTTGTTCATAGTTAAGGCTACTGTAGAACTGGAAACATCTGCAGCTTAAAACTTTTTAATGAATTGTAAATGACAGCAATTTTCACGCAAGGAACTTTTGCAAATTACACAAATTCACTGTTGTGTCAGTTATAATTCAATAATTTCACAGCATGACACTTTCCCAAAACTGAACTACTTGCATAATTTTGCAAACATTAGATGCCTGCAAAATGTCCTGGTATTAAAGTAACTCTTTATTGTGAAGGTCACAAACTCAATAAAGACGGGTCTAACATACTTTGGCACAACTGTAAAGATGGTTAATAGACTGAAACTCAAATTATAAGGATTTGAGAATACATGAGAGTATAACTACAAATTATGAAAGTGATACCTTTTCAATATTAGCACTTAAGCTTTGATCAAAAGTTCTACTACGGATAATTTTTTGACATCCTTGTTATGATAATATAATGATAGTAATATTGGCTTCTTGTATACAAGCATAACAAAATATCAAACCCATTTACACCTGGGTGAAGAGTGGCAAATTGAGATCATACTTGTGCAGGGCTGGGATTCAAATCTTTGATCAAAGATGTGTAGTCAGGTGACTTATCCTTTAATACAGTTATGATACACAAGCGATTATACTACTACCGTTAATACGTGTACATTGGTTTTTCAGACGATGGAAAAAAGAAACCTTGTTTTTCATTTCGAGATTATATAATACATGTGTACTACTACCATAAGTACGTGAAAATTGGTTTTCTAGATGATGAAAAAATACACCTATATTGCATTTCGAGGTTTCAATGAGAAAAAAAGATAATATAATAATTAACAAATGCCGTTTATATTTGTTTATGTGTCAAAATCTACAAATGTGATACTTCAATTAATCATGTGTAGTAAAGAATTAAGCTGCACTGATATAGATTTACCAGAAGGCTTAGAGTTCATTTTTCCTTAAAATGTCTTGAAAGTTTTAATTGGATGATATGTCTAATGATTTGTTTTTCCCTATGCAATATTTTGTGTTTTGTGAGTTTCTAATTCCTGCATCATCATTTGATTTAATTTATCAGTTTCGCATTGTTGAGCATATGATAATGAACATTTCCTGATAATAAAGGCTTTTGTGACTCACCATTACTATTTTGTTTGCGTTCCTGAATCAGTTGATTACTTTGAAATGAATTTAATAGGAACAATATGATCACACCAGTTGCTGAAATATAATATACATATATGAATATTGCTTTCTTATGTGACTCACTATCATTACTATTATTTTTGTTTTCCGGCCACATTTGATAGACGGAAATTGTATTCAATATCATCAATATGGCCAGACCAATCCCTGAAATATAATATAAGATTATTGCTTTCAAATTATGTGACTCATCATTACTATTGTTTTTGCGTTCCTGCCTTAATTGATAGAAGTGAATTGCATTCCGTATGAACATCCTGATCAGATTAGCTATCGTAATATAATATATGATTATTGCTATCAAAAAGGGTTTGTACATTTTGTTGGCATTCGTTGATGTCGTGTGTGATGTTAAGGTATAGTTTGAAGTGTTCGAAGACTGACTTTTCTCGCCCAGATCTTGGGTTTTGTCAATAGAAATTGTTGATGTTTCTGTTGATATGGTTGGACATGGGTCACTGCTAATGGCATCATCTAGATACAATGCAGTATCATTACATTCACATCTTTCTTTGTACTCAGTCAAAGCGGAAGAGCAACAAAATACTGGCTGATTTGTTGTAATGTTTATCTTCTGTTTCAAAGTTGTGTCAGTTTCAGTAGGATCAGTTAGGGGAGGAATCCATACACCATCCTGATAGCATTCAATCTTCCCTGATAGACTCCCAACCTTGGCTGTACAGTCTATTGAGACCCAGTCTCCACCCTTTTCTTCACTCACATCACATGATGCCTTACCAGGAGGATAGTCTATTTGCAATTCAACTCTTGTTGTGTGATCAGCAATTGACTGCCCGTCCTTGTAAACCAATGAGATGTATTTCCCTGCATCAAATCTCATTAGATTAGTTATTGTAAGATCCAGAGAGCAGTTTCCATTTTTGTTTCTATTATGCACTTTGAATCTATGGAGCTGAACTCCAGGCAACAACAACGTTGACCCATCTGTCAATTTATAAAATGGGACTCGGTTCGAATGCTGTAATGTGACTTCTGTGCTGTCACATGGGTATGGGAAATGTAAGGTTGCTTCTTGCCCTTGCATTAAGGATACTGCCGTAACTTGGTATCCATCTACAAGAAGTATTGTGATGAAAGGAAGAATTTTGCCATAGTGCATTTAAATACAGCCTTCTTTCCAAACTTTAACATGGTTATCTGTGATTAAAGACAGATTCCTTATATTACAGTCTGTGGGAAATCTAATTTACAAAATAAAAGTTAGAAATGAACGTATCGAAGGAAAAAAGTGATTGGTAGAACTGTATTTGTAGTGTATTATTTGAAGCAATATGCTAACCTTTAATATGACAACCTCCAAGTGGTCCAATCTGTTTCAAGTAATGTCATCAAAGCAATACTTGCAATGCCTTAGTGCTCTGCAAGATTGAAGTCCATGTCCATCATAATATGTGAATCGGTCGACTGCTGTTACAATGTCACCAACTAGAGAAACGTCCTAGTGCATGACAAATTCCTTTCCAGAAAAAATAATCTTGGTCAAGATTACTGGATTTTGACAGACATTCAATGAACATATATGACCAGTTGGTTTTATCACAAAACAGGAATGTTCAGTGTTTCCTGATCAGTTCATGGTAATGTTTAACTGCATCTCAAAATTGACTGTTGAATTATTCACTTGAGTAGCTAACTCACTTATTTTCTGTTGGTTTGATCTGAAACCATCATATTCTACAAGAACCGGATTTAGATCAATTGAATAGAACTAGACTGCTGTTTCCTTTTTAGCATTTGGCGTTGTGGTTCCTCTATTTCAGCTCCAAAATTCTGAATATCAAAAGAATCCTTCCTGAGAGAACTACACATTGACAGCTGGTCCTGGAAGAAAACAAAGGAGAAAAACTGTACAAATCAGAAATGTTTGCTAACTTTGGGAATGAGAGGTTTAGATTTGCATATGGTTCAGTATATAATTGAGCCACAGTACTAACTTTTTTGCAAATTGCAATTTTTTTCATGCCTTGAAATGGCTGTCATTGATTTGAAAAAGTCTATTTTTTTCTCCCAGTAGTTTGGAACATGGTCTGGTATTCGAGAGAAGGAGGGGGGGGGGGGGTGTCTGGAAGAAGGCACTACCAGAACACACTGACACAACTCGAAGTAGTAGGATTGGAAGTGGAATTTTATTTCCCACTTGCGCCAATCTGTATTAAGTTTGATACAAAGAAGACAAACTTCTGCAAAAGAAGGAAATAACAAAAGAAAGAACATAAATAAATACATGTTCAAAACCTCTTCATGAAACACAATTGGAAATCAAAAGTAAATTAAGAAAATCCTCTTATACTCTATCAAAGCATAAGCCAACAATAAATGTATATCACTTAAAACCAAGTCAATGATCCTTTAATATTCATTGAGTTAATAATAAGAATCAAATAATGTTTGTGTTCAAAACTATTTATTACACTCTACCATCCTGACTCACCCAACTAGGACTGCTAACAACTATTTGTTGCTACGAAGACAAACAATGGTACCAGCTTCCTCTACTCAAATGCTGGAATATAAAACAAAGACAATATCACTACTTACCATGAATATCTAGTTAACTAAACCATCAAATTATTATTATCAAAACATTATGTTGCGATAATATACTCATAATCATAGCAATTTAAATCCTATTTATGATCATAAAAATGCATTAAATTCATTAATACGCAGATGAATAATGTTGTATCCATACTCAAATTGCCATTCTTTGTTATAGAATAACTGAACCAAATAAATCAAAAACTGAAACAAAAGAAATAAATAAATCAAAATATAATTAAAAATTAAAATGAAAATATCACTTCAACTTCCAACACTATTAAAGGATTTAGATTTAGATATATATATAGAGAGAGATGTTAACAATTTTTCATACCTCCATAGAGCACCAGAACTCTTTCTCATCTCAACAACTGTTTAACCCCTATAGCTTCATCCACGAAAGTAACTCCTAAATGAATGGAAAATACACCATCTCCTAATAAACTCTACTCTCTAGTAATAGTATAATATAATTTATATCAACAGGCAACACCAACCTACTGCAATAAGTAGACTCATATAATGTCTAACTATAAACCATAAACCCTTCCCATGGAGGCTGCCATCTTGTTTGTTTACAATTGAGTACCCCCTCTTGTTTTAGAATATTGCTTACTGACAGCGCAACACAGTCTTGACTGACCTTAAAATGACTCTGTAACAATGTGGAAGGTTGATGAAAAAAATGCGAAATTTTTTAATGAAATGTTACTATTCATATTCCTTCTACTGTACACTAACCCTCTAACATGCAAAAAATCCTGAAAAAATTCTCAAATCACAAAAATATTTATGGTTTTCTTTGAAGGTGTCACTGTGCACGCGACACCCTCTAACAGTAAATTCTCCCAACCCACTTTTGAATTTTCCCAACCGCTTTTCCATGAAAACAAGAAATAAGATAGACTTTTAAAAATCTTTCAATACTTAAATGTCTGGAATGGTATATAGAGCCAAATTCCTTACTTTGTGACGATTTAAATTCACCTAAAGTGTACTTGTATTAAAATTATAATGTATAGTTGGGAAAATTAAGGAATCGATCAGATCAGTTTTTCCCAGTTTTTATCATTAATAATGGTCTGTTTTCAATCGAATTTTTAGATTATCTTTAATTGTACATAATTTAAGGCACTACCTAATTAGCACGATTTTCTCTCATCTGAACAATGTTACCGAGTCCCTTTAAAGCTGCACCAATCAAATATCTCTATCTAATCAAATCGCTCCATAATTTCCTCAGTACACTACCCTAGCTACAGTATTCAATACCATATTAACGCTTAACTATATAACTACATGTACATGTTACAGATGTACATATAGATGTGTTATCAGCTATAGAACAAAGACTCATGGTAATGCACGACAGCTCTACTCTACCGCACACAAACTATATACTCTCAACTCCCTGCCCTATAACTACACAGTGATACAATCGTTTCACTATTATTACTTCATTTTCTTTCATTCTTTCTACTCAATATCAATAATGACATGACTATATTTCTTATTCTACACAATAATAAACATCAATTAACATACCTCGACAGAATACTGGAAACTCTACTGCAAAACTGCTAGTCTCTGATTGTCAATTAATCCACTCTCCTCAAGCATTTGGTTGAACAATGCCACAACCGGTATTCTTTCTGCTCTAATATAATATTCTTCCGCCTAAATTAATAAATAATGTATTAATTCTGCAACCTGTATATTTCTAACCAAAGATATGTTTAATAAAACATACAATCAATGACCTGCATTTCCATTAACAATCAATATTCAGTATAACAACTCTCTCAATTTGAACTATTTAGTCTGTGGATTGAATATGCGTACTGAGGCAAAGTACGCAGGCCACTCTTTGCCCTTAAAGGTTAAACAAATCAAGTTCATTCACTATAGGCACAGAACTCTTATATACGAAGAACGCTCATCCCTATTCACAATGCACAGATCGAGGTGTGGCGTACTCGCTGGGAGATACGCTCGAGTGCACACGCCGCCATTTTGCTGGGTCCTCGATCTTTTCAGCTATCAAAGCCCGGCCAGTCGAACATAATGCACACGATGACAGTTAAAAGCTTTTCTGATATTCTTTTCAAGGCATTGTGATATCGTCTTAGCTGCACTTCAAATTTGAAGTCGGCTTTTTTAGTCATATATCAATTAATGGCATGAGTTATCTAATCTTATTAGAAGTTGAATTTGGTTCTCTTTCATGCCAGACCAAGATAAAACAAAAAAGTTAACTTTTTAAAATCCTCTTTCAAGATAGGCCTACTAAACAGCTTCTTTTTGATATCATATTTTTAGGGGGGGGACATTTATTCATAGAGTTCACTGATACTAAATTATTCTCGTCCAAAGTGCCAATTAAGACCCCTTCCACACACATGCACGCATGTCATTCTTCAATAAACATATGCTAGCACATGTCCACTCAATCACCTTCATACATTGTACATATCACAACAAAAGCATGCATTAAAAAAAACATAAGCAACAAAAAAAATATGCGAAGAAGAGAGAAGTAGGCAAACTACATGTACACTGTATGACATACTGTTTCACGCAATCCTGAAATAAAATTTGAAAGACATGATGTCATTGGTATCCACCAAATTCTTATGTTTATTCTTTCAAAATGAATTAAAGTTCACAATATTAATAAACAACTATAATGTAAATATGGTATAAAGCGTAACAAATGGCGAAACATTGGCAAGTAATAAATTAGAACAATTAGTCAATGCATATTTACTACCACGAGTAATAAATGATGATTACGGTTCTTGTTTTATGATCATCGTACACATAAGTTTCTGCAAACATTTTTTCATATAATTCTGTGGCATGAATTGGCACAACAAAGGCAAGTAAAGCATATTACCACAGAAACTCAACTTATACCGTTTCAGTCTACATGTACATACATGAGCAACCAACCAATTATCTGCATTTATAGATTTCATTTACAAAATAAAAGAAAACAGTGCTGCAAAGTGCAAACTTCTCTTTACACATATCAATTTCCATTTTTCTGGGTGATTTAGACTTAGCAGCAAATTAGAACTGGAAATACTACTTGGCAGTTGAGTTATCACACCGATATCAATTTTGAGGGGATGAACAATAAAATTGACCTGGTACTGACTATATTTCATTGGACATAATGTACTTTGAAGATAAACAAAACTGTAGTGAGAAAGTATGCATCCTAAATAAAACAGATATGTCCTAATAATGACGTTCAACAAATTTCTTGAAAACGATATTGCATCACACTAAATTGAGCACACCTCATATCAATCTTCACTTAGTAAAACTGTACAATATTATAGTATTAATGA